TACGTTTTATATTTACTAGACGATGGATAATATCCAAGAAAATTTTTATTCAATTGACTCTTCACCATCGTCAAGAAGTTTTAGATTTGATATACTGTAACTAAGTGATTACGAAGGAAGTTCGTTCGGAAGCTGGTGACGGAATAAATATTAGATTTACATCTAACTCGGTTCTGCTAGTAAAGAGCATCGTGTCACAATATGTGTCAGGCAGATCAGAATAATCCAAGACGCGTTGTACTGAAGTCATTGACCCATAAACGGTCAGACATCATTCATATGAAATGATTTAAACCATGAAAATAAATCTCATACTTGTCAGCTAGTTTCTTATCTCGAGAGGTAAACTACGTTAACTCCACTAAATTAAAATGACCTTATAACTCAAATAAAATATTCTGTTGGAACTTGTGTACATTTTAATTAATCAAGCGTGGTTAATGAGTCCGGGTGTAGGGTAACGCTCCATCCCCCTTTACCTCTACAAAAGTAACCCCGTGGAGGGAACAGGTGTGAAGTTGCTAGCCACCCACTTTTATCACTGTTTACACTTCAATTTGTCAAACGTGTTTCAACCTCATGAGACCATCTTCAGTGGTAACATTTTGTATTATTATTTTTTATTAAGTGTTCTGTCTTACGACAGGTCCATTGCTCTGCCCAAAAAGAGCTCTCCAGTTGTCCTTATTCTCGGCTTCTCGCTTTAATTCCTGGAACGTCATCTTCTTTCCTTGTTTAAGGTCGTCGGTTAGCTGTATCAATCTTCTTCCTAGTCCTTTCTTTCCTTCAACCTGGCCTTCGGTGATATCACTCAGTAATCCATTTCTTCTCATAATATGTCCCAGCCAGTTGTTAGCTTTCCTTCGTGTAATCGCCTGCAGAATGATTCTTTGCTCTTTGACTCTCCTCAATACTTCTTCGTTGGTCACTCGATCCGTCCACCTGATCTTCTCTATTCTTCTCCAACACCACATTTCAAAACTCTCCAGGTATTTCTGTTCCTTCTTCCTGAGTGTCCAAGTCTCTGCTCCATACAGCGCGACACTCCATACGTAACACTTCACTAGTTTCTTCTTCATCTCCAAGCCCAACTTGCTAGTGAGAAGTATCCTCTTCTTGACGAAAGCTGCCTTGGCCATGGCTATCCTTGCTTTTACTTCCTTGGTGCATAGGGCGTCCGTCGTGATTATGCTTCCCAAGTAACCCCATATAGATTGTAAATTAGATAGACCGAATAGTTGGACATTGCAGTGAAGAGACAAATTCCGGATTCTTGTGCGTAGCAAAATGCATTACCATTGTTCGAACGGAGGCATGGCATAGTAACTTCCACGGGCTCAGAAATAATTAACATATTCTCTATTATAATTCCTATATATTTGCACAAAATAAGTTTCTGAGAGCTGCTTTTAAATTGCAGTCTTCTGGGTTGTAAAACCAGATAGTCTCGTAGTAGTTACCGACGTTTCGGAGGAACGTATCACCTTCATCCTCAGTTGAAGATGGAGTTGGTAATTATCTACAAGACTACAAAACGTCACGACCCAGAAGACTGAATTTTATTATCACCAGTCCTTCCGAACGTGTAACAAAATTTTGGCAGAAGATGCAGATTCATGTAGTTTAGTTCTTAAATAAGTGTATTTATCTACCCGTGGTGGAAATGTTTGCGTATTGAAAAGCTCTGTAATATCACGGTTATTCCTTTCTTCTCCCTACTGGGATTCTGGGATACTGGGAATGACCCGTTCTTCAAGTGCCTGAGCACTGCGTGTCCCAACTTTTCGTTGGCTTGATCTATAGACATTCGGTAGGACTCCTTGGACGAGGGATCGGCCCGTCGCAAGGCCTCCCCCTGTACAGACATCCATGGCTTGAGTGGGATTCGAACCCACGGTCCCAGCGACCAGGCACAAGGCCCACGCCTCAGACCGCGCCCCCACTGCGAACCCCCCTTCTCCCTAACATCATTTCAAAAGTAAATTCGTTCATTTACAGTTGTTTAAGAAGCTAAGCAAATGTGTTGCTTTCAATGTTTGTACACAAATCTACTAAATTCGCTTATGAGATAAAGCTCGGTACGATAATGGGCTCCTGTACTCCTACTGTTTAAACAGAATACCCACTTTAATTTCAGGCTTTCATAAACGATGTGTGTTCATTTAAAGACTGGGAAACCGGCTTGGATATCACAAAGCATTGCCGTCTACTTACGGATTGAATAACAAAGTTTCACCTAACACAGACAATTGTAACTTCGATAAAACCTGGTAAATTCGACGTAGTAACATTTATGTTTTGTATTTTGAAGTACAAGCAGTTTTTAATAAAATGTGCTCCACGGAAGATTTGATTTCAAGAGATAATGTGTCTGATTTCAATTTTGCAGTATCGGATTCGAGTCTCAGTTGAATCATTAGTTTCCATGACTCAGATTTTTGGGTATTATTCAGTCCCGCCGGGCAAATACAGGAACAGCTCCTTGAAATAGGCTGCGATAGTTTCCTTTCGAATCCTTTTTATTTCGCCCCGTAAGTAAAGGCATTCCTCCACACGTTCCAAATAAAATGTGTTAATCATATTTAAATAATCATTTTTGTCGTGTATCAGTATTTTTACTCTGAACTGCTCTTTGTAGAATTAAGTTAAAATGTATATTGTAGCTTATAGTTACTAAATGAAAGCTCACGAAATTGCGAAGCATCTGGTACACATGGAACAGATGAAAAATGCACACAGAATTTTAGTCACAAAACCTGAAAATAACAGACGTAGGTAAAGATGGGAGAAAATAGTTAAAATGTATCTTAAGTAAATAAGAAGTGGGTAATAATAATAATAATAATAATAATCAGTATTTTTACTCTGAACTCCTCTTTGTAGAATTAAGTTAA